AGTGCTTCAGGCCGTACAAGCTGTCTCCTTGCTGCAGAAATGCGCCACCGCCGACGAGGCGGTGGAAGTGATCGACGTGGACAAGATGTGGGAGGGAGGCCTCGAAGGGGAAAAGCGAGCAGAAAGGGACGGAGCGGAGGCAGGGAGGGCAGGGGAGGGTAAAGACCAGGACCATATTTCGGACTGCTTGGGGTGGGAGCGAACCCTAACCCTAACCCCAAACACCGCAGGCAGCGAAAATGTCCTCTTCAGTCCCGGGAATCTAGGAGGGTATCCGCCCCTATCTCCTTCTCCCTCCCTCCCTCCCTCCCTCCCTCCCTACCTCGGGCTCCAAGTCTTGGACTTGGGCAATAATTTTCTCGGCGGAGATACCTTCCCCCACCTGCCCCCACCCCTTCCTTCTCCCTTCTCTCCTTACCTCTCGGGCTCGGCGGAGGGAGTAACAGATAGAGATGCATTGGAAGACAGTACTTTTACGGCCCAGCAATCGGAGGGAGGAATCGAGGGAGGGCGGGGAGAAGGGAGAATGGCACCCGCATCTCCCCTTCGGAGGGTACACCGGAGGAGCAAGACACGCCGTCGCCTCGCGCCGGGAGGGGTGGAAGGAGGAAGAACGATGAAGGAGGGAGGGAAGGATGGTAGGGCAGACCCATTCAAATCCCTCCGCCCCCTCCTTCGGCACCTGCCCTTCCTTCGGTCCCTCTCCCTGAGCCACTGCTTCCTAGACGGCGCCCAGGGACACCTGGACAGTCTCTGCGACGCTTTCCTCCCCTCTTTCTCCTTTTCTTCCTCAGCTCAGACCCCCCTCGCTCCCTCCTTACCTGCCTTACACCCGTCCTCCCCCTTTTCTTCCCTCTACTCTTCCTCTGCCTCTCCCGCCTTCTCGCGACTTTCCTCGTTGGACTTGTCCCGAAATCCACGCCTTCTTCCCCCCGCCCATCGACCCTCCCTTGCTCCCCAACGTCTTTCAACAGCAGTTTCACACTGTTCTAGAGAAATGGAATTTACAGGGGATGAAGCAGTTGGTGAGCATGCGGAGGACAAAGGGGAGGGTACGGCATTAGTAGCCCGTCGGGTCAGCAACAATCCGCAGGAGAGCTACGTGGGCAGTGAAAAGAGAGCTGGATCACAACGAACGGTGTCATGGCGTTGCCATGGAAGCTTCCAGAAGGATGGAACAGAATCTCCACCCCCTAAAACCACCCGATCTGCTAGCCCCCACCTCTCTTTCCCGCCTTCACCGACCGCACTCCCCCTTCTCCTTCAACGTCTTCCCCACCTGCGATCTCTGTCTCTCTCCCACTGTCGACTAGGAGACGATGGAATCCTCCTTCTTCTCCCTGCTCTCATTTCCCTCCCTCTACTGGAGCAGCTTTTTCTCGCGAACAACGAGCTCTCAAGTCCTGGGATCCAAGAACTCGCATGCATGCTGGCAGGGGATGGCGAGACAGAGAAAGGGCAAGGCGCAGGACAAGGGATTAAAAAGGCAGATGGAGGACGTATCATGCACTCTCAGGGGGTAGTGAAAGAAGGGGGAAGGGCAACAGAGACACCTAGGCCGACAAAAGAGAACCAGGAGGAGCACGGTGGGGAGGATGGAGGGAGCCACGACGAATCTTCGCAAGGGGAGTGGTACAGTCCACAGTGCGAAGCAAAGGCAGACGATGTCCATGTCCTCGCAGGAAAAAATGCAGGAGAGAAATCAGCTTCAGTGCCTCAACAGGGGGGAAAGGGAAAGGGAAGGGGGGGAACTATACTCCTTCCTTCTCTGACAGCGCTGGATGTGTATGGGAATGCCGGTGGTTCTCTGGGGGTGATGGCCTTGTGCAGGTGCTTGCAGCGTCGACGTGACCGTTGGGAGGAGAAAAAGAGGGAGGACGGGCGATTAATCGTTGATATGAGGCACAATGGGACCACGCTGGAGGATGCCAGGAAAATAGTTGAGATGATGATGGAGGGGAGGAAAGAGAGAAGAGCAGGGTACCAAATCACCGTCAGAACGGGGTTCGTGTGAGAATGTGTATAATGTATGTAGATGAAGGATATAAAGGCGGGTGATGTGACGAAACATATGGAGGCTTACCCATTCTTTGCCCCATGGGAGTGCGCAACTAATAACTTCTGACTTAGGGAAAGCATAATGATTCTGCGACGCCTGAAAATTTGCAAAGATCAACGGTACTCATGCTTCACTCTCCGAAAATACTATCAAAGAATCAACCGATGGCGTGAAATGGTGAATAGCTATCCACTCTCGCAAGTTAAAGGAAATAGAATGGAAATAAATATGAGATCTCGAGAGATCCCCTTATTTACGTAAGAAAAAGACGCCTTGAGCACTTCTCAAAGTGATTCAATGGCTTCCTCTCAGCATTAAATCAACACTATTTCATATCAATGTGACTGAAGGAAGCCTTTTCGATTATCGAGGATCGACTACTTTCGTCTTCATGAAAATGAGTACCTTGCAACTTAATTCGCGATCATCAACTCTCCCAACACAATTTCGGAGTTGACACACGTAAATGTCAGCTGCACCTCATGAATTGCGGGTTTGAATGTTGTGTCGTTCGACAAAAGCTCATCCGCTCGGCCACTCCGATTGTTTATTGCTTGTCTTGAAAGCGGCAACACAGATTATTTATTGATTCTTTTGAAAGTTTAAAAAACCGTTGCCGTGCACTCTCGGCTACCATTTGTCCTGCGAAGACGATATCCGACGGCGACAATTACTTGTCTTGTTCCTTCTTTGGTTTACGCCGTCTCCTCTGGATAGCTGCCTGCAAATATGTGAGTGTACCTTTTTTGGCTAAAGAAATACAAGATACATAAACTTAGCCTCGCGCAACCGCAGACCTCATCATGATAGCAATAACCTCCTCTGTAACAATCTTTCTTTCCCCCTTTCCTTTCAGCTCCAGCTTCTATTAAGTATCATTATGCCGTCCTTTACTCCTGAAGCGCTTTCCCCTTATCGTCGGTTGCATACATTTACTGTGCCGGGCATGCAATTTCAAGATTTGGTGGTCAAAGTTCTTGAGAAGCCCCAGGCCTCGTCTACTTCTGAATCTTCATCCACCTTTCTTCGCGTTCTTGTCGGGTACGTTCGTGCGTAAAATTCACATGGCACCGAAATAAAAGTCTATCAGAAACCTCTTGATAATTTTGCAAAGTGTTTTCGAGGACAATCACAGAATGTCATCCGTCACATCCCAAATTCAGGGACGAGACTGCGGTGATCGAGCTCGTGTACCGCGCCACACGCAACGTCAACGTCCGATGCGGACGATTTCTCCTCGTCTCTGGGCTTGTCAACTGTAAGGATGGCATTCTTCAGCTCCATTGTGGACCGCGCGCCCAAGACCTGCAGTCGTTGCACAAGCATGGGGGTGCATCCTTTCTGGTCCCTCCCGCCGCACGTGCCAACAATCTTTCGGCCGTTGTGCACCACGTGGGGGTATTACCGGTCCGACCGGTCCCCTTCCAGTCTCTGCGTAATGACAATGTCCAAAAGGAAGAGGAGACGCGTCGGGCCAGAATGGGAAGGCTCCAGTTCGTCAAGACTAGGACCGCGGAGGAGCCTTCCCCTGACCCTCCCTATACCGTCGAGTACGGCCTCAAGAGTCATTGCGGGGTGTGGTACGTGGCCAGTACAAGCCCTCGCTCCCACGAATCTTTCCTGGAGACGGCCGCTCGTGCCTTGGAAGAGGCTGTGGAAGGGGAGCATGCGATAGGGCGGGAAGTGGAGGAGGACGAGGAAGACACCATATGCGAGGGTTACCCATGCCGTCGGTCTTTTCAACTGGCCGTGCATCTTCCCTGTATCACCGAGCTCCACCGCCCGAAGGAGTCTGGGGACGAAAAGACGCATGCCTACCATTTTTACATCGCCCTGGCCCCCGCTCAAATAACCGAGGCCGAAGGGCAGAAAACCACTTGCTCTCTTACCCAAGCCGCCAGCGGTAGCTGTGGCAGTGGCAACAGCAGCGACGATGGAAGCGTTGTCTCCACACCCACCATCGAGACAACAGCGCTGGAGACGACACATGACGCGACGGCCCTGTTGTGGAAATCCCGTCGGGAAGTCAAGGTCTGTCGTCATGAGGAGCAAGGAAAACATGCCTTTCCCCTGGTAGATCAGGCACGAAATTTGTTGGAAACCGGGCTTCGCACTGGAGGAGGAATATTGGCGGGGCCCGGATGGGATGCCTTGCGCGAATTTTTCCAGGAGGGAGCTACCGACAGGGACGAAGAGATCGCTCAGCCGGCAGGGGTGAGCGATCCACGGAGCATAGCAACGGTCCAGTCTTTGTTGCAGAAAATATCGTTACTCGAACGACCCGAGGTACTACCGGTGACGTTGTTGAGCGGCTTCCTGGGGGCAGGCAAAACGACGCTTTTAAGGCATGTGCTCAGCCAACAAGCGGGCTGGAAAGTCGCGGTGTTGGTCAACGATATGAACGAATTGAACATTGACGCCACCTTGATCACCCAGGACCGCCGCCGGCGGGTGGAAGTCGTAGGCAAGCCGTTGAGCGAGGAACGGATAGTGTCCCTCTCCAACGGTTGCATTTGTTGCACACTCCGGGAGGATTTGCTGGCGCAGATTGTCGATTTGGCCCTGACAACTACGTTTGACTACCTGATGATCGAGAGCAGCGGGATCTCCGAGCCCATGGCCGTGGCTGAGACGTTTACCTTCGAAGATGAGCACGGCCGTTCCCTCTCGAGTCTGGCCCGTTTGGACACGACGGTGACGGTGGTGGATGCCGCGGACCTACCACGACATTTGCAGGCGTGGGAGAAAGCCAGCACGGAGGAAGGAGGAGACCAGGCTTGCGCCCTGGGGGGAACAGGGGAGGAGAAAAGTTTGGCCGAGCTGATGGTGGAACAAATCGAGTTTGCGGACGTGATCGTCCTGAACAAGGTGGATCTGCTGGCTTCGCCGGCGGCACTAGCATCCAATGGTGTGGGGGGCAACCCTTCCTTGCCCAGAGGCTCGTTCCTATGGAGCCTCCCCGTCCTGATTTCGGCCCTGCAAAAACTCAATCCGCGGGCCAAGATCGTAGTGGCAGAGCATGGCCGCGTCGATCCGGCCCAAGTCCTGCACACACAGGCCTTCTCGATGGAGAAAGCGCAGGCCGCCCCTGGATGGTTGCAGACGTTGCGGGGGACGAAAATGCCGGAAACGGACGAATTCGGAGTGACGAGCTTCTGTTACCGCCGTCGTCGGCCTTTTCACCCGGCCCGGCTCCATGCCTTGCTGTTTGGGGAGGGAGGCGAGGATGTAGGGAGGGAAGGAGGGAGGGAGGGCGGGACGGAAGGCGGGCAGGCGGGTCCGGCCGAAGGACCCCTTGGTTCCCTCATCCGTGTCAAGGGTTACCTGTGGCTGGCCACACACATGCAACATATGGTGTTCTGGTCCTTGGCGGGTAGCGTGCACAGTTTCACGGCGAACGAGGAGGAAAAATGGTTGGCCGCCATTGACCCGGTGGAATGGCCCGAGACCCTGACGGCAGCCGAGCTCCGGGCGCATTGGGAGCCCGTGTGGGGGGACCGACGGCAGGAAATCGTCTTCATTGGGGTTCACATGGAGCAGGCGAAGGTGGAGGAGGCCTTGGACGCGTGTTTATTGACGGAGGAGGAAATGACGCGCATGACTCCGGGGGACTGGGCGGAGGTCTTTGTGGACCCTTTTGTAAGGGAGGGCACGGACGGGCGTGACGACGAGAGCGAGCTTGGGAGCGAGGGTGAGGATGAGCTGGGGGATGATTGAAGAGGGGTGGCCGTGGGAGGGTGGAATAAAAGACCGCAAATCAGGGAGCAGCGGCCCTATAGGACGCTACCGGGACGAGGCAGCTAGCTAGCTGTGTACTTTAAGGGAAAGAGGAGAATGTGGCCAGTATTGTTTGTCCTCGATGCTTTTTTTGCTTTCTTTGGGTTTTTAAACGTCGAGCATCCAACAGGCAGCATTGGATGGACCGTGGAGGCAACACTGATCAGTAGGTATGGGCCATATCACAAGCGGCGGCCTGACCGCCATTAGAATGAGAAGGAAGACTAAGGAGGATTTAGATGATTGAGTCATTATAGTCAGACTGGCTTCTCCAATAAGTATTCAGAATGCTGCGGGAGGCAATGTACACGTGCGAAATGCTCTGCTATCCTGACTCTTGAAACCCTCCTTAAAACGTCACACTATGAAAGCACTCAGTCGCAAAAAAGGCGAAGTGGAGTGGTCTATGCGATTTTTCCCCCAATCTTCAAAAGTAAACATGAACAATGACCGGTAAAATGCGTCGCAAAACAGAAATTTTCCTATTCGCAAGGATAAGAGAGGAACTAGAGATTCTGACATGATAGAATGGCGCTGAGGAAAAACGAGTGGCTGTACACCCTCCAAAATCAGTTTATAAGGCTTCTTCGATGAGATTTATTTGCTTCGGCGGGTTGATTCCTGTTGCTTAGTATATAATTCCCCAAAACGAAATCCTGTCTTTTTTGTTCCGCTCGCGGACAAGAAAGCTTTCGCATCAGCGACGGCTGGGCGAGGGGCAGCAAAGGAAGGAGGGAGAGCACAAATTAAAAAGATTCTCATAGTTCACCCATTTCTGTACTCTGTCCTGTCTAGCGATTGTTTTCTTTCAGTGAACAGGGTTGTGCGTGTTTGAGGTGGGATCGGGTCTGGGCGCTGGAATGTTCAGCAGCGGCATGCTGGGCTCGGTGAGAAAAACAGGGATTGGTCCAACGACGCTGCACCACGCGCATCAAGCATCAAGAATGGGCGGGTCTTCCTCGTCCTTGCCGCAATATAAAGGCATGGCATCGAGCGATATGGCACCTTTTAATGGGTTTAGAGAGGAGGGAAGGGGGTCGGGGGGGGACGACAGGAACCCTCACCTCGGCTCCTTGGTGAAA